TTACTGACGTAGACCAACTAGAATTCAGTAGATCGTACGGTTACAGTAATGGAGACGGTGGTAATTCTATGACGTATCAGAACGTATCAATGCCGGTCTTTCCCAATATGCCGTATGCTTCATCGTACTCTTACATGAGCAAAACACGCGAGGAGACCAAAGTAGAAATTCAAAATCACTATGAAAATGATGAAACCATAGAAATGAACTCAAACACGAATTTCTCACATAAACCACCCCTAGTGGGTAAGAAATCCCACCTGCCTAAGCGCTACAAATGCGCAATGTGCGCATACCGAACTCGCTATAAATCGGATCTAAACAGGCATGTTCGTAAACACGCTATCGCCACATTTAGTTGCGACATTTGTAACATGCCTTTTAAAACTATCGGAAATGTTGAGTTTCATAAACGAAAGGAGCATGTTCACTTGGTAGAAGAACAGCCACCCAAAGAAGCGATGAAGCACTCCTGCAAAATGTGTACGTACGCCACTATGTATAGTTCGGACCTGACTCGTCACGTCCGCAAACACTACATTGCCAAGTTTCACTGCACACTGTGCAACAAACCGTTCATGACATCAGGGAGTCTAGTACACCACAAAAGATCCGCGCACGGCGTCCAGGATGTAGAGGTTGTCATGGGACTGGAAGGGGTGGAATCCGTAAACCAAACTGGTGGAGAAATTCACAGCGATCCCGAAATGAATGATCAGAAACAATCGGACATAAACGGCAACGTAAACAACGTTGAATTTGAGGATCCTAAAGAAGACCACCAGGGCAGTGGAGCAGGAGAGAAGAATTTTTATATTGAGAACAACGAATGTGAAGAAGACTGCGATTCCGAGCCACAAGGAGGGTACAACTACGAAGATCCTGATCTGGAGCCGTCCGAAATTATGCCGATTGATAGTGACAGTAATGTTATGAGCAAAACAGAAGACCTGTCGAAAATTGGCCCAGAAGGTACTAAGCATACTTGTCCATATTGTGAAAAATCCTTTGGTCGAAAACTTGTCTTGGAATATCATCTGAAAAATGTCCACAAGATATACGGGAGAAATGGGGAGATCGGTGATTACGTGGAGGACCCAGATGACTACGACCTGGCCTTAGATATGTCTATACAGGAACTAGAAAATTCGACTTCTCCCGACCTGTCCTCCAAAACCGCTAACAACAGTAATGCGACCTTCCGCCATAAATGTCCATTCTGCGCATATGCTACGAATTACAAAAGTACATACGATCGTCATGTGAGAAAGCATGAACTTGCATGTCATATCTGCAATGTCTGTAGAATGCCATTCATCACGTTTGGTCACTTGCAACGCCATATTAGAGATAACCATCCGGACCATAACCAACAGATATCCGAAAAAGAAATAACTGTTGAAAAGCATAAATGTGCTTACTGCAATTTTGAAGCAGAGAGTCTTGCACAATTGCGAATGCACACCAACTCTGTTCATAACCGCCAGATAATGCAAGAAATTCAGAGACCTCCAACTAATAGTGGGTCCAGGGTATTATCTCCAGGAAAGACTCTTGAAGAAAAAGACGAGGCAAGAGAGCGCAAAGCTGACCACGTGACCAGTTTCTCACACCATGACGCTCACGCGAGCCCAGCAGAAGATGGCGTGTCCACGCATGCTCCAAGTACCGGGCGGTACGCCAAGCTTGTATCGGACTTCGACGATTTTGCTCAGAGGCCATATGCGTGTTCTCTGTGCTTTTACAGAACAGTCGATGTTGCAGATCTTGTTAGGCATGCAGAGAATCACTTAACTGGGTGCAATCAGACACCTGTACCGGAAACAGCTCGCTTCGCCATGGAAACGCTAAACAGATCACGCGCTGCACTGGCCATGAATGCAGGTCCAAGCGCACCCTTGACTTCAACTCACAACAATAAAAGCTTTGATGCAACACAAGAGCAGATGGGCGACTCTATTCGTATAAAAAGTGAACCTCATGTAGTTCAGACAAGGAAACGACCCCAGGTAACTACTGGACAAATTATGTCACGTGCTCAGCAACGGAAACAATTCGCATTCCTAAAAAACAGAGAGACTCCTTCTGTTGATCGCATTATTCCGACATTTTCAGTGTATTATCGAAAAGACAAAACTAATGTTGCTCGACCTTATTTGTGCCTTCTCTGTAGAAAGCGCTTCCGACACTTGACAATCCTAAAGCAGCATTTCATGCAAACCCACAACGAATCAGTTCCTCTGAACAAGATGTTTGATTGCAAGCAATGTTCACGACAATTTAGTAATCCAATGGCGCTTCAAGAACACTATGAGCAAAAGCATTGATTATACAATGTGTGGCCAGGGATTTTCTTTCTTTTTTATGGGATCGGGGGCTTAGTCGGTTCATTACATTCCATATGTCTTTATTCTAATTTTATTTTTTATTGTTCTGTACTTCCATACTACAATTGATTTGCCTGTATTATTTTTTAATCACATTTTATACAGTGTACCCTGTGATATACACTTCCAAAAATAAATTCCAGTGGAACTATATTATATTGTTGTTTTCTTTATTTGAAAATATATTTTTTTTTCTTTCGAAAAGGAGATGGGCGAACATAGCGTGCAGAAAGCCTATAGCTTCAGAAATATAAAAATCATGTTCAATTTGTGAATTTAATATTTAGAGTAAAGTTCTCATTATTGAAATTTATGTAATTGTGATAAACAAAACTTTTCTGAGGAAAATTTTCTCGGCAAAATTTATTCTTTTATTAAAAAAATTAATGTGGTATTCGTGGGGTTCGAACCCTAGCAATAAAAATCCTGAGAATCATTTTCTTTCGAGACTAGCACGCTAACCACTAGACTACACAAGTCCTGACGAACAGTGGCATTTAAATCATGTTTGTGATATGACCCTTGACTTAATGGACTTCAAGTATTTCTCGAAAAGATGCGAATGTTATGTCATAAAGGTATAGTGGGTCATTGCTCCATATTTTTGGTAAGCAAAAAATGTATATTTATATGCAAACTTTGAGGATTAACTTTCAAAACGGTGGAGCGAAGACCCACTCATATCGAAAAATAGTGTTATAGTATGCGAAAATGACTCTTTTTGCCCGCTTTAGTGTGTGTCTAATATTTCACAGGCAAATAATTTCAAACTTTGAGGGATTTTTGCAAATTGTAGAGATTTTACATAAAGTATATTTTAATGTTAGACGAAATATCAAGGAAAATTTTGATATAATAGAAATTTAATTTTTCATCTTCATGTTTGTCACACTATAGGCTTATCGCTCGTCATGTTCACCCATCTCCTTTTTATTTCAAACTAGTACCGATTCCCTCAAAATATTCGAGAATACAGTTTGCGATGATTACACGATGACCAGTTCGTGTACTTGTCCATAGAAGATCTTCTATGGACAAGTACACGAACTGGTCATCGTGAAAGGACAGAATTAATACAATTGATTTTTATACGGACAAATGTATGAGTTATAAGCTCAAATTCAATTAATTCACTAAAGTCATACATGATGGTACATTAGAAACATATACAAAATCCTCGGAGACTTGCGTAAACTAATTATACATGTAACGTTAACATTACATATTTTATACATATGCAGGAAAACACCATGGGAACATTGAGGAGAACAGATAGCCTTCAATTTAAAATATTTAAAATAAATGAACAGTTTTCTCAAACCTTCTTGGTTTTTTGGAATTGTTCAGATTTGAATTTGACTTAAGTTCGAAGAACTTTACACATTTGATCTACAGCAGTATCTATATTATCAAACATTCTTTTCTTACATTTCTGATAAAATTGCATATTGAAAATATGTATGTGAGTTTTAATATTGTCATTATTACCACACTTATAGTAAATATCTCTCTCTCTCCCTCCCCTCCTCTCTCTCTCTCTCGCTGATAACATAGGCTTCGGAACCGGGGGGCTTGGGGGGGCTTAGCCCCCCCCCCCACTTTTTTTGCAAAGATAGACATAATATAGGCATTGAAAATTGGGGCTTACCTTTTTTCGCTGGTTTAGCCCCCCTTTCAATTTGCTTCCGACGCCTATGGATAACGCTGTAGATTCTAAAATATTGTGAAAATTATCACTTGTTTGCCCATTATTACATTTTAAATATTTATTATCATTAATTTTCTTTAAGTTGGATACCGTTTCAGAGTAGAGGATTGGGATTTGTGTTCCAAAAGAAAAATTACGATAAACTTTGATGATAATAATATAGGTACATGTAAGACGAAAACAGAATTTAAGAAAGATTCTACCAAACGACCAACAAAGTTCGAGAGAGAAAACATGAGGCAATTGGAAAAAAAAAAGAAAGATTTTTTTTATATACATCTTTTGTCTTTGAGAGAAGACATTATTAAAAGTGTTTAAAGGCAAAAATACTATTCATTTCAAAATTAGGCAATTCAACCAATAAAGCGAAACCTTATTTCGAATTCTTGGTGTTTTGTAAAATGTCCGGTACAAGGTGCCGTACTTTCAAGCATATGTCTGATCCTGATTAATCATAGATACAATGTAAACAACATGGCGGTTTCAATCAGGTGTTCGTGTAGATAATATTTACTTTTTGCATAAAAGAGACAATAACGGTAAGTATACATGTATGTTGTGAATGGATTATAAAGTGGAAAATGATATTCATGATTTACGTCACATTTTTGTTTTATTTATGGTCAGTTTGATGCTTTTTAAATGCTATGAACTGATGAACAATGATACTATTGTGCCCCCTGGCCAACAAAGAATGTGATCGAGATACGTTTCATAAGAGATTTAACAGAAAGACAATAAGCCATTAACAGGTAGATTCAGCGGGACTGTTTAAAATGAAATCTTTGGAAACAGCACCCGTGCGTTATCTATAGCTGATTTATATCGTCTACGTATGGTAAACAATATATCTGTTAGAATAACGCTACTTGTGCATGTTGCAGTACCAGTTCATGATCATTTTAAGGACGTGAATTGACAATGGTTTTGTACCAAAATATCAACGTTGGACAGAGGGTAGAGGTTAAGCTGGGTAACCTCGTGTTCCGAGGAGTGGTCAAGTACAAGGGGTCGGTGGTCAACAGACAAGGTGACTGGGTAGGCGTAGCACTGGAGAGGGCAGGTACTTAATATAACTTTGCTAGATTATAAATGGTACTATCTGCGTTTCAATTCTACATTGTTCTTGTCGTGATAAAATTCTTTTGACTTACAGTGGGGGAAAATGATGGTATGATATTGGGGAGAAGATACTTCCAGTGCCCCCTAAATCACGGGACATTTGTTAGAGCCAGCAACATAAGATTCATCCCTATGATCAGATGGTGAGCATTCAACCATATCAGTAAATATACTACAGTGAATAACTAAATATTCCAACAATTCAAAGTCACCACAGTTGTTCCTTTATAGCATATACAATGTATCTAAACTAATGTATTAATCAAGTTAACGAATTTGCTTTATGCACGAATTTAAAGGAAGGGATGGTCTAAAATTCAACAAATCCAATCGTTTTGCAGTTTTCTTTTTTTCCAAATATAAATTTTGTATTTATCGTATAAACATAAAATTATGTATTTCCAAAGAAAAAAAAAAGAAGCCCAATAGGCACCATAGTTTGATCCCCCTTTTTTTATTTCCCTCTAATATTTCATTAGCTGGACCTCTTTTTCTTCTTTCTTCTCTCTTGCACATGTAACACCCCCCCCCCCCAAAAAAAGGAAAGAAATAAGGAAAGAAAGAAAAATTTTAAAAGAAACATTGGTTTGTATTTTGACACAATTTACAGAACAGATGTACTTATATACAAAATATTGAGGACAGACTTCCTGAAAATATCTTTGTACTATTTTTACTTTCAGTTTATATAACAGATACCATAGAGTTTCCGAGAAATCTTACGTTGAGGAACCACTTTTCAGTTCAAGTAAGCGGGGGAAATTTCTCTCTTTAAAAAATTGTAACTAGATGGATAGTTATGACGTCGTATGAATTTTTTTTATTCAGTGAATATTGATGGGTATTAATAGAGGCACTATTTTTTAAATATCACTGTCTGTTCAATGTTTATAACAATCTCTCAACTCTTTTGTCGTTGGCAGCGGTTCCCAAGGCTGACCCCGCGGTCATCTCTGGTCAATATCAGGACAAGGCGAGAAACAGCTTCGCTTTTGACGGTAAGTACACCTTATCCCAAACTGACCACATCTTATTTTGTTAAATTAGAAGATCAAATCGCCTTCCAAAATTATACGTGTGTATTTCTTCTTCTTTTTTTTTTTTTAACAGATTCTTTGTTCAGCGCAAAGCGGTTTCCACTGCGACATTCGGTCGGGAACCACATACCTGCTGCAACGATGAAGCGCGCCAAAACTGCAATGGCGTCATTTCGTTATTTAAGCAGTCCTATTCACAGTGAATATGACATTCAAGAAGACTTTATAGCCACGCCCACTATCCCTAAGACACACATGCCATACTCCGCCCTCAAAAGACAGGTGGGGCGGGGCTGGGAGGGTACTCATTATGTCCGCGAAATGAGCGTGGGGACCGGAAGGGATTCAATAAAATTTTCGGCATGGAACGATATCTCACCTTAAGGATATCCAGCAACATTTTCTTAGTATTGTTACCGAGGCTTTGGTTCCTCAGAATGATTAAAACTGCTCAAACTACGTATACAAATTCAGGAGTTTAATGTTGTACAATATACCTACATTGTTTATGTATTTAAAATAGTATTAAACTAGTAATTTATTCTAGTCGAAAAATAGTGCCCCACATTTGGGACCAATACTATGTATACTAGTATTTGCACTTAATAGATACTGGCTCTTTTTTTGCGAGCATATATTATTCTTTTAATAATTACTTGCAAGACGATTTTCAAATTCACCTCATATTTACTATGACCACTGTGATATCTTTGTATTTTTGTATTTATTTTGCGTCTTTGTTACATGGTTTATGGGGATGTTGCTGTTAGTTTGGAATGCATGTTCCTTGAAATTCGTAATCAATAAAGAAGAATAGTTAGAGATATCGCTATAGATCTTTATGAAACGAGACTTTATACAGCTTCCAGCATTTCAGATTCACCCCCCATTTTTCAGTGTGACATGGCGTCTTTGATCTCTTCATTTGCGAAACTGATGGCAGATTCAATGGTTTTCAGACCTGTTTGGAGAGCGTGATTGATTTTCGTCTCAAGAACATCTGTAAATGATTAAAAATATTTTGTATATCTTATTCCGTGCTATACACATACAAAAACGGCGATTTTGGGGATATCTAAAACGTATACCTTTCTGAAGGGAAGAATTTACAATATTGTGTAAATTTCCAACGATATTGTTGACAGCACTCCCAAGTGACGTCACTACCTGTAAGACAATAAGATTGATTTTAGTAACAGGTACTATAGTGAATTAATTATTAATAACTAAAATGCCTAGAGGTTTCAGGAAAAAGAGACATCATTCTCTCGACGAAACCGACCTGTTTGAGTGCATTAGTTTTATGCTGAAGGTAGGAAGCTAACTTTTCGTCTGCTTTGGTAGCCCTCAAATTGTAAGTTGCCAGAAACTCAGCGATGTCCTGTCTAGCCTTCTTGATAAGTAAATCTTGCTGTTCGTGGTGTTTCGCTTTCATACAGAATAAAAAGCGTTCTTTGAACCAAAGTTGACAAAAGGAAAATGCCTCATTATTAACGACTATATCACATCACACTGTTTTTATGTAAAATTTAGGAGCAAGTGTAAATTTTCTCTGGTATTGCTTGAACTGTATTTGTATGAAAGAGAAAACCCAAATGCTAATTTTTTAACAGTTGAACCAAAAAAGTACAAATTTAAAGCTTGCCGATGAGTTGAAGTATATTCTCTGGCAATTTCAGTTCGTCTGAAGAAACCCGAAGTGCATTGAAGAGTTTCTCAGTCTGGCTTTGGATCTGTGAAATCGTGTTTATAGCTGTTTCAAATATCGATTTCGTGACATAGGGCACACTATGGGAATAGAACAATAAAATTCATATATAGACTCCTTAGTGGAACAACAATTACTGATTATGACAAATGTGCATAAAATATTGTGTACAGTATATATATCCTTAAATTTCCAACAAAGTCTGGAATATAGCGGTTGTACAAAAATTATGCGAGACGCATGAGTAGAATATTCATACCCTGTTGGCTTCTTTTCAAGTCGATCCAGATCTGCAAGAATTGAAAATGCACATAAAGTGCAGCATGCAAAATGCACATAAAGTTTCTGAGTGAAACGTCAGCGGGTTACATCTAGTATTTTGAAGTAGGTAGAGTTGCATAATGAGGAAAAGTGGAAGACACCAATACACGACAAGGTACTAGTATATGTTAAACATAAGAACTACATACATTCAAAGGCCTGGCTGATGGCGGATGGAAGGTGGTTCTCTGCGTTTTGTATTAAGATTTTGACACTGTCCAAGCCTCTCTCCAGCGCATCATTAAATTTATCCACCGCACCAGTGAGATCCGCCCCCGAAGACAGACACTGACATTGCAGGATGGCCAATCCCAACAAAGTCACCAGCAACATCTACAAAAATAATGTTATGCATTGTTTTCTTATCATCGCTTCCTATTACTTTAAATTTTTGAATTGATATTTTTAAAGTGAATAACCACATACACATATTTATGTACGTTACTATAAATCAACACACTTTCTAAAACATCACTCTCCTGACCCCAAAACCATAAGCTGAGAACAGACGTAAGTCAAAATTTTAATTCTGTATAACTTTTGAAAAGATCATGAAAATTATACCAAATTTCATTGAGTATTTGACAAAATTGCAACTCTTCAAGCATGTTTGTTGAAATAAAATCAAGACATTCAAAATCTGAATTTTGACTTAGATCTGTTCTCAGTTTATGGTCTTGGGGCCTGGAAACATTTGCTGTATGTCTTGGGCAGATATTGCTGACATGTATGTCTGCTTCAAACATTGATACAAACTTTCTGCAATTGAACTTAAACTTACTGTGACAACTGTACAAAGCCTTTATCTGTTGAATGAGTGAAGCAAGTACATGTATGCAGCATGCAAATGAGGTTTGCTGCAGACAGCAAACATGGGATTCTCCAAATATGGAAACCTTGCTGCTAATTTGATGCAAAGATTGTTGCAAACTTGCAGCAAACATTCTGTTCAATAAATATCTTTGAAACATTTCAGCGTGTTAGTTGCGAGCTCGCAGAAAATCTTTGCTCTGATCTTTATGATACGGAGGACTCAACCATCAAACATATTTAAAAATAATATGTTATTTGATGCCATTTTCGGAAGTCTTAACAGTTTAAATTAATAGATAGTTTTTCTATTGGACGTGTGATCTATTATATGCATTGTACGAGTACATGTATAATACTATCCAGAGAATATACAGAAGGTTTGGGTCATTTGATCCTTACACAAATCTATAAACTACAGCATCGACAATATATGACTAGCAATTCAAGCAGCTTCATAAATTATTCATGAACCAATATCAAGAGACTATGTGGAACACAAACCTCGTGTAAGGGAGGGGGTTGTCTTATGATTAATTTTCCAGCGATTATCCTACAGTCCATCTTTTTTTGGGGGGTGGGGGTGGGGGAGATGTTGAAATCTACAGTTATGTTTGCTTATTTAAGGAAGATCTTAACACTGTTCATTGAAGAGTTCTAATTCTGTAGTTTTTTTTTTAAACATCCTTATTCTTTTATCAGACCAAGATAAACTTATTAAAAACATTAGTCATATGTATTTTCCTAATGTAAGTGAACGGTGATTTCCGTTTACTAATGGTTCATTGTTTTTGAACATTTTTCTTGGTCGGACTCTGAGAAATATGGCAGGTACTCTGTGTTGAAATTAAACTAATAATACTTTAATAAACAGTATGCACACCTTTACATGATACAATTTACTCAAAGTAATAAAGGCATTTTTATGAGAGTTTATAAATCTTCCTTGAAACTGAGTTATGTTTGAGAGGGAGAGAAAAATCAGGTTTCCTTCTGGTTAAAACATTTCTGAATTTATAATTTTATCATATACTCACGGTTTCAAGCAGATAGTTCGAGTTAATATCTTGGGACTAACTTCTTATCTTTAATTGGTTGAAAACTCCTTGCAGACCGTATACATTGTAAAATATCTTATCATAGTTTTACACGCGCGTCCTCGTGTCTGTATGCTTGCCGACGTGGTGCATAATCCAGATTGGTTCGAATACAGCTGAAGACAGAGAAAGATGCATTTGGAAATGTGTCAGTGATGATTCTGCAAGGTGCTACAAACAGACTTTGCGTTGGAAAGACTTTAAAAATATTTTGTGGCTTTATTGTGCGCAACACATTTTTTGACTGTTTCTCTAATATTAGGACATTGTTACATGTACTAGACTTTTATTCATACAACCTCATATATATGTACATGAAAACAGTTGTGTCATTAAACTATTAATAGCTTATATAAAAAAAAAAACCCTGAAAAAAATAGCCAAAGTATTTTATAACGAGAATACACGTATGTGTCAGAATTAACAACTTTTATCATAAACCTATTTTTTTTCCCGCTTTGGATTCTTGCCCCCGCACTCTATGCATGCTTCCTTTCGAACTGATTAATGTCATGAACATAGGTCATTGCAGCATTATCGGACAGTTTTCACTTTTACTGTGGAATACCTTCCCGTTGATTTAACTTTTTATTTAACTCTTTTGATGATGATGAACAGTAAAGTTTAAATTCTCCCGACGATTTTGATGTAAGGAGGTGTGGGGGTGGGGGGTCGATCAAGTAGTATGCGAGGGGGGGGGAGGAGAGAGAGAGAGAGAGAAAAACACGCACATTCATATATATATATATATATATATATATATATATATATATATATATATATATATATATATATATATATATATATATATATATAAAACAATGTAGATCTGACAATGGTTATTTCACATTTTAAGTAGCATATCATACTTCTGAAAGTCACCTGGCGCCGATTTATTAAGAATCTTATACCGGTTAGCCAATTTCTCACGGTATGAAAAGTTTTCAGCCGACGACGGGTATTGTAACGGATCATGATTAATTCTCCCCATGGCGTTTTTCAGCAAGTTTTTCAACCTTTGAGGACTTGTATTGCCATGAATGTGCTTAAGGAACTATGAGTTAGTATTTGATTTAAAGAATACGAATATTCAACTTTAAAGCCATATTTCGAAAGGTAGGTTTTTCTGATTGCTTAATCTTGTTACGGCTATTATTTTTAAATAAAACTTTGGAGCGTGTAAGTTAGTGCTAAGAAGTACGTGTAAGAACAACAGTATTGGTATTTCTAGTAATGATAATTATTATGACATGCTTTTCTCTGGAGTCAATAAAATAAAAGCCTTAGTCGACCCATCGTATGGAATAATAACAAGAGGCTCATGAGCCTGACCGCTCACCTGAGTGACAATGGTCCTGCTATTCTTCAGTAAATTTTTAATAGATTGTTTTCCTCTGTATCCTGAAGAAAATGATTGTGGCTGCACTCTTCTTCCTGTGACCATGTTTTAAGTAAACTTTAATCTGCACTAGCCTGAGGATGCTAGCATATCATTATGACAATCATAGTACCTCTTGACTATGACTATTACACAATATAAAACTTAACTCCCGTATAGTAGCCCAATCCTTTTCCCCAGGGATCATTATTTGATGTTTTTGAAAGGACGTCTTTTTTTCCGAAGATTTCGTCCTATATCAATATATATTCCTATGAAAAAAAATCATCCTCTATTAATAGAGGATCATTTTTTCCATAGGAATATATAGGACAAAATCTTAATTGTGGCCCGTCCCTACCCCCGCAGTTTATAAAAGGATGCTTGCGTATTAATATGACTCATCATGGCCTTGCTTTTTTGGAGAATGGGGTTTTAAAAGATTTTACCTCACCTTGCCGGCGTCCCAGTTAAAGTTTTAGGAGGCCGCGCAAGTCATT